GGAAGAATATTTTGTAATTTAGAGGTGGGGTGGACATGCTAATTCCTTTTTTCTTGATTTCGCAATAAAATTTAGATTTTTATAGTCATTAATAAATGAGATAATGATGTTGTCGGGGTCATTTTCCAACAGCTTTTAAATAGGATGACAGGCTATTAGAGGATAGGTACCAAAATACGACCCAAATTGGAAAAAAAGGAACAGATAGAGAAATTAATGCAAAATTAGATTACGTAACATTATGGGGAGAGTTCACTTATAAAAATATTCTAAAAAAAGTTTAAAGAAGGCTCTTTTTAGTAAAAATGTTTCAATTTTTTTAACCATTCAAAAAATTTTATACTCTAATACTTTTCAATTTTTTTTTTTTTTAAATTTTAAAAATACATAAGCCAACGGAGGGGGAGGGCGAGCTTACTTGTATGGTAGTATGTAGTTGGTGGCTCAAAAGACCAGCAACAACTCGTGGCAAAGGAGGGCGAGCGACAGGTAGTGGTAGACGTTTTCAACGATCTACAATTAATGGCAAAAGAGAACGAGAGACGGTTTGTGGCAAAGTAAAGCGAGTGACAAAAGTTATGGCCGAAAGGGATGAAGAACAAAGGATACACACGAGGGAGGAAAAATAAAATAATAATGAAGTTGATTTTGTATTTATTTTCTTAAAATCATTTCTTTACGTTAAGGTTATGTTAAAGGTCGAAGCATAAACCTGAACTAAAAATTTTTAAGGTTCAAAATAAACCTTTGGTGATCTCCATAATTTTACCAAAATATATTGATAATTAGAAATTCTGGATGTAACTTCACTTAAGGTTTTTTTTGTAATGACTCAAGTCCACCACTAGTCGACATTGTCTGCTTTGACTCGTATCCCTGTCAACGCTTTAATATTAAAATTAAGCATAATGTCAGGTTTCATTTCACGAACATATTATAATCGACCATAATAATAAAAATTTGGGAATGATTCAAATATCCAAACACCCACTCGAAATTTGGGGCATGTGAAAAAATGATAATAAATCTCGTCCTTAATAATTAATATTATTAAAAAAAAAAATGAATATGGATACCTATCGATGCAAAAGAAATATGTCTAATATTGGGCCTTAAATGGGCTTCACCGTAGGCCCAAGTCAGAAGCCCGAATTATCAAAACTGGTTCTTCTCGGCCTAGGGTTTCAGCCATTTGAGTTGCAGTTTCTGACCAATCTATATATATACCGCCGAAAAAGGAAGCCTTGAGACCCTGCAGATTCGGAAGCATTCTCCCGCCGATTAGTTCTGCTTTCATATCCCGGAGAGTTGAAAACCTAAACCATGGTAAATTTTCAACAATTGATTTTCTGTAATTTATCTTCTCTCTCTCTCTCTCTCTCTTCCAGTTTCGTTAATGGCGTTGCTTCGGCCATCTTCAGGCGGATGTAGAAGCCGATGTTGCAGTGGCGGGACAGCCAAAGAAGAGAACGTTCAAGAAGTTCAGCTTCCGCGGCGTCGATTTGGATGCTTTGCTCGACATGTCTACCGATGAGCTCGTCAAGCTCTTCACTGCTCGTGCTCGCAGAAGGTATCTATTACTGAATATGTGATGAATTTATTTCGAGTTAATTCGATTTTTTTTTTTAAACTTAATTTTCTATTGGATGATTTTTGGGATAGGTTTCGAAGGGGTTTGACTAGGAAGCCAATGGCCCTTATCAAGAAGCTCCGCAAAGCGGTAACTATCTTTTAGATCCTTTTCTTAACTCTAAGACAATTCATTGGAGGACTCACTTTTACATTATTTGGTATTGTTTCCTTGAATGCACTGGCTGTATGCAAGTGGGTATACTTGTTGATGGACTCGTTACTGTATTGTTGTGCATCTGAGATGTAATTCGAGTGATTTCTAGGGGAAGCATCTTAATCATGCTGCTCGGTTTTTCTCCAAGTTTCTTGATGAGCAGATACGTGCTAAGTAAATTTATGTAGTTAGACATGATATCTTTAATTTATATTCCATGGATCCTTTTCTAGGCTGGTATTAACTTCTATGCTCCATCTTGACCTCAATTTACTTTAAATGAACAGTAGTAAAATAGAACACTCGCCAAGATTTTCATTAGCATAATCTTTCGCTCTGAATCTTAGGATGGAGAATTGCTCTCTCTTGGTTCTTTGTTACACCTTTCAAAGATATTGGAGAAACTAGTCTGTCGTGATATTGCTGACAGGTTATTATGATGGGAAATTGGAATCAGTTTTGACACGAATAAATGAACTCTCTTTAATTTGTTAGAAACATGGATCTCCACAATGGTATGATATTGTCCACTTTGAGCATAAGCTCTCATGGCTTTGCCTTTTGGTTTACCAAAAGCCCTCATACCAATGGAGATGTGTTCATTACTTGTAAACCCACGATCATCCCCTTAATTCCATTGTGGGACTCCCTCCCAACAATCCTTAACAATACTTCCCTTGAACATAGTACACCATCCATAAAGCCTCTTCTGAGTCCTATGTAGCCCTTGAACAGCTTCCCTTTAATCGAGGCTTGACTCCTTTCTCAGGAGGTCTTAGAACGAAGTACACCCTTTGTTCGATACTCGAGTCATTTTTTACTACACCTTTGAGGCTAGAAACTCCTTTGTTTGACACTGAGGATTCTATTGACATTGCTAAATTAGGGGCATGACTTTGATCATATGTTAGAAACCATGGACCTCCATAATAGGATGATATTGTCCACTTTAAGCATAAACTCTCATGGCTTTCTCTAAAAGGCCTCATACCTATAGAGATCTGTATTCATTACTTGTAAATCCATGATCATCCCTTAACTAGCTATTACTTGTAAATCCATGACCATCACCTATAGCTATTGGACTCCCACCCAACAATCCTCAACATTATTTATTCTGAACTTTTGTTGGCTTCATTATTAATTTAGGTATAACTTTAAAGCTAACATCTCCCACTACTGCTTCTTGCTATGCCTCAACCTTCTTTTTGCCCTTGATTTATCATATCCTAAAGTGGGATCATACCCAATGGTAGCTTTGTAAATTTTATTTATCATGAATCTCTGAAGCTCTAATTATACCGTTGTGAGTTTTTTAATATCCTTGTTTTTGCTATTGGCTTTCCCATAACCACCAATGGGAAGTTACGGTCATGGCCCATTGGTAGATTTGGAAGTTAATGTGCCTTGAGTCTTTGCAATTCATCATTATACTTCTGAGTTCTAACAGGATGGGTTCATACACCAATGGTAGATTTGAAAGTAATTTTCCTGGAGGCTCTGAATTTCATCATTATACTTAGGAGCTTGGTAGACTTGAAAATATATGTACAATGAATCTCTGAAATTCATCATGTTTGTGCCCTTGTCTCCCCACCTGGATCTCTTTCCTTCAACCATAAGCAGAAGAACAGGTTTCTTATTTTCTTCTCTCGTCTCATTCATTTTCTTTGCTGCGTTGAATAGAAAAGGGAAGCACCTCCTGGTGAGAAGCCAGAGCCTGTACGAACTCACCTCCGTAATATGATCATCGTCCCAGAGATGATTGGAAGCATCATTGGTGTTTACAATGGAAAAACCTTCAACCAAGTTGAAATCAAGCCAGAGATGATCGGGCATTACCTTGCAGAGTTTTCGATTTCATACAAGCCTGTCAAGCACGGTAGACCCGGTATTGGTGCCACCCACTCTTCAAGGTTCATTCCTCTAAAGTGAAATCTGAGTTCATTTCTTGCTTCCTTAGTTTTGTTATATTTCTACAAGGTTGTTGATCAGATTTTGTTCTTAGTTGTTGCCCATTTTTCTATGCTTCAATATCTGATTAGAACCACCATGGAAGCTGGTTTTATTCTTACTTGTTTCAACTAAATGCAGACTTGTAGACTTGGTTGCTTGATAGTGTTGTTCTTAATTTTTTCAAGTCATGAATTTCATATCTTAGTCTTCTTCAAAGGTACCGAAATTCTATTTTTATTTAAAATTTAAAGCATGAAAGATAAAATTTCATGATCATAAATGTATTTTATAACTTCGTTTTTTTAAAAAATTGAAACAGGATGTTATATGTTTGTAACTTTTTCTTCATCTGCCCTTATTTTACTTCTCTTGTTATGATGTCATATGTTTATTATATTTATTACTTATTATACAAACATGATATAAACAATTATTTTTCTTTGAATACAATTCATAAAAAGGCTAAAGAACATTAAAAAATCTGTCCCAATTATACATTAAAATTTAGAATAACCCATCGTTGTTCTTACCATTTAGATTTGAATTCTTAATTATTCATTCCAAACATGATGATATAAAGAACATTTGTAATCATGCTTTTTATACATGTAAGCTTCATTACATGTATAAATTATTCAACCCTAGATATATGAATCTGTGACCAAAGAAGAGGTGACATCAATTGGAGGTATTGAGAGTTGACTACATATGATTGAAGGGCAAAGGTGATTTGGAAGAACATGATAATCGAAGTATTTCTCAAGGGAGACCATAAACTTCGACTTCGACAAATTAAGGAAGGGATAAATATGAGTGACAATTGCATTTCATGATTAAGAACATAACTCCCGATCCAAAGATCATGATCGAAACTAAAGCTTGCTCAAAAAGGCAGCATGTCATCAAATATCCCGTCAACCAAAAAGGACAAAACACCACGATATATTGTCATGTTATTTATTTCCTAGTTTATACATGTTTTTGTCATTATATTTTATTGTTTTTTTTAGAAAGGTATTTCACTTGGTTTAATTTTGTCTTTTTGTCTTTTTTGTTTTTATTTTATTTTATATTATAGCAGCTCTAATTCTAACCTTTTAATATTTTAAATTTTCTCTAAAATATTGCAGCTTGCCTAATACTGAGTGCCGAAAGAATTATTTATATATTCTTTTTTTGGAAAAGGACTCTTTATTAAATAATTCATGTAAAACGTGTTAAACATGGTAAATTCAAATTAAAACATAAAATTATATTTATTTATTTACAATAAGACACGCCAAAGTAATATATATTTTAACAAAAGAAATTTCCAACGTGTCTATTAAGACCTCAAATTGTGGACCCATCTTTTACGTCATGGGAACCTTCCTCGCATTGCCTTTGAAATTTCCTCTCTGCTTCGCTTAGCGTCATTTGCAACGCTCTTTCCACTTCGGCAGCTCTCATCTGCCCATCAAACCAACCAAACAAACCAACATTTCTTCCAAATCCATAAATTATTACACAAAGTCCGACACAATACGTTCGTCTTTAAAACTTAAACACGTCTTAAAGATTGTGATATTTTAGGAACAAATTGTTTACTCTATTAAATAGAGTTATGTTACCTATTTGACACAAATTTAAAAGAGTCGGGTGATCTTACGTGAGATTCAATGGCGATGTGGGTCGAAAACTGAGAGTCCAAGAAAGTGGCATGAATAGCTTTGGCATTCACTCCAACAGTTTTGAGAAGATTAAGAACACCCAGCATAGAGTTTATCCCAGATGAAGGGTTAGCCACTGCAACCCTAATTGGTGTCGTCCCCTTCTCTTGCTTTCTCTTCTTTGCTGATAACGCCATTTCCAGCTCTATATTTCTCTTCTTTAGCATTCCCTCTGAGGCTTTCAGCTCCTCTATCGTCCTCGCCGCCATTTGAACGATTGAATTCTTGTCGTTCTACAAAAACAAAATAACACATACAATATCAACGACAACCCATCGTCTGTGTAAAGTTTTGGCTCTTATTAGACCAGTTAATAATTATGACTCAGTATAATAATAGTATAATATTGACAGGACCTTAGTTTTACTTGGGAGCATAGAGTGGAGTTCAGAATAGCTCCGTCTATGTTTCTCTCTCCTCATCCTCTCGTTCAGCATGTGTTGGTGACTTTTTTCTCTCTCTAGATCTCCCATTTCAGCTGGTTTCTTTTTTTCTTGCCACTTCTTTCTCCAGTACTTGATCACTCTCTTGTGGATGTTCTCCGAATAGGTGGCGGCGATGGGATTGTTTTTTTGCCCCGATCCGATGGCGGGTTGGGGCAGATATGGTACGAAAGCACTTATCTGTCCCGGAGCGGGGTCGGAGACGGAGATTGGAGTGTCGAGCCAATAGAGATCAGTATGCCAGAATTCCACCGGAAATCCATCATCCATTCGAGGGAAAAAAATTGTATTTTTCTTTTTAAATTGTGGGGGAATAGAGGGTGTGGGTTTTATATGTTTTGGGGATGGAGGAAGATGATAAATAATAAATAATAATAATAATTGAGGGTATTAAACACGTGGTCAATGAGATTATTGTGAATTTTTTAGGTTTATTTTTGGTCAAATTTCCCGAGTGGCTCGTTTTGGAAGACTTGAATTTAAGGGGACTATCGTGGGTCCCACTCCTTCCAATGGGGTCAACGTTTTCTGGCTAAGCTTCACAGTTTGCAGATGGTCACCTAATCACTTCTACATTTCCACGTACGTATTTCTTATAATATTAGGCTACATTAATAAATACAAAACTTTTATCATTAATTTTATATGAATCCATTAATACACTTAAATTTAATATATATATATATATATATATATATATATATATATATATATATATATATATATATATATATATATATATATATATTTATTTATTTATTTATTTATGAATTAATTTTGGATAGAAACCATTAATATTTTTTCTTGTTAAAAAATATTTCAAAGTTTAAAATATAAATTTTTGAATTGAATTAGTTATGATAGTTAAGGTGGTTTATATAAAATTTTATTTTTAATAAAAGTAAAATGTTAGAGTAGTTGGAGAATTAGATAATTATGACATTAAATAAAAATTATATATATATATATAAAATTGGATGACAAGTAAAGTTATATTTTTAAAATTAATAATAAATTTGGATAGATTAGATGAATTTAGAACCTTTAAACTAATAAAATTTTCATTTATTTAAAGGAACACAACCCAAATAAATTTATAATCGGAAATACGATAAGAAGAAAGAGCATCCATAAGTATAACCACATGGCTTTATGAACTCTACATGCAGAAGAGGCAGCCAAATGGTGTTATTCAGCCATAATAGAAATAGAAGAAGCAATAATAAGTGATGATCTAAAGAACATTAGGGCGGCCATGGCAGCAAGTGAATCTGATACCACTTCCCATGTATTGGCGACACACCGGGCACATAACGGTCAGCGGTATCCACCCGCTATATCCCACAATATTCACATGCGTGCATTCAAGGCTTTTACTAGTGAGCTCATCGAAGTAGTCTTTGAAAGAACCTGAGAAGCCTACTCGACGTAAGTTTTTCTTCCATGTTTGAAACTCCTCTAGTGCTTTTATGATCAAGTCCCCACCTCCGACCATGACGACAGTCTGGCCTTTGGTTATTATTGCCCAACCCTTTTCGTTTTCGTAAGATATCAGTCGTGAAATATCTTCGGTTTCGGTCGAACCTTGTAGCTGATGCTTGAGAATGAAGAAACTCCGTTGCGCGGTCCAGAAACGAGACATGATGGTTGGATCAGGCTCTCCTTTTTGGTTCAATCCTAGGGGTACTAATTCAAAGGTTATTCCTTCTTCTCTTAGCATTGGGTCTCTTTTAATGGCTTCGGCTGTGTCTTCAAATCTTTTAATCCATCCCTGAGTGTGTCCTCCGTAGAATATCATAGTCCTTTCCTTGTTAATCTGAGAGAGAGAATAATCGGATGAGATTCACAAACTCCAATGCTTTTTAATTTTTAGTTGTTGAAAGTTTAGCTTATAAACATTATTTGTCGGTTAGTAAACAAGAACATTTCATATTGTTCATCGAAAACAACAACGTTACTGTAATAACCTAAGAGCACCGCTAGCAGATATTGTTCTTTTTGGGGTTTTCCTTTCGGACTTCTCCTCCTAGGAAGAGGTTTTCACACCTTTATAAAGAATGTTTTGTTCCCTCTGCAACCGATGTAGGACCTCGCTGAACCTGAAGGGGATGGACACTAGGCCCCTAAGGAGGTTGGATTTTGAGATCCCACCTCAATTGGAGAGTAACGATGCGAGTGAGGAAGCTGGGCTCTGCGGGGGGTGGCTTATGAGATTCCACATCAATTAGAGAGCAATGAGTGCCAACGAGGACGCTGGGTGGGTCGGGAAAGGAAGTGGATTGTGAGATCTCACATCAATTGGAGAGGAGAACCAAACCTTCTTTACAAGTGTGTGGAAACTCTCCCTAACATACGCGATTTAAAAATCTTGAAGGGACTCTTGCGAGGGAAAGACCGAAAATGACAATATCTGCCTAGCGAGGAGGAGATGGTAGATTTTTAGGAGAGGAATGTACCATGGCCAAGCTGTTCAACCTAGGTTGATCAGTGAATTTGACAACAGTTGAATCAATCCAACTCCTTTTCAACAGAGTATTTGCTCTCTCATACGTAAAAGGAATAGCCTCTTTCTCCCAAATTCGAGTCAAATGAACTGCATTGGGGAATTCAATCTTGGATTGTGTGTTAAGAACAACCACCAACAAATCTTCTCTAACTTCCCATTTCTCTTCCAAGAACCTCAAACCTGCAACCTTTGTAGCAAATGGCACCGCATACCATTTCATTTTAGATATCAAAGCTTCATAAGCTTCCTCATCACCTTCAGCAGGAGGGTCTGATATCACAGAAACCCATACAATTTCATGCTTGTTTCCCTTCTTCACCTCACTGTAAACCACATTCAGGCTATCAAGATCTTCTTTTGAAACATCTAAACGCTTTGAAACTATTAATATCAAATTCTTTTCCTTCAGAAAATCTTCAATGTATTCCTGCATCGTTCAGTACAAGTGTTGGAATCACAAATGATATCAATTTTTGAGTGAATTAAGAAAGTGTGTGTTTGAAGACCTCCAAACGAGTAGAACAGTTTATGAGAGGCCTGGCTTTGTGTTTGCCATGTATCAGCTTGGAAAGGAACAAGGTAATATCAGTAGGAAAATGATCAGTTTGGTCCACCAGCCATCTATAAAGCTCTACCTCTTCTGCAATACATAAACCAAATTTCTTTTGTTAACTAAATGACACACCAAAAAGAAAAAGTATAACAGTAAAAATTCATCGTTAGTAGATATTGTCATATCTGGGGTTTATTAGGGAGAAGTTTCTACACCCTTATAAAAAATGCTTAGTTTTCTTCCCCAATCGATATGGGATCACAATCCACACCCCGATGTCCTCATTGGGCTTTCCCTTTTGAACTTCCCTCAAGATTTTTAAAATGCTGTCTGCTACGGAGGTTTCTACACCATGCTTCATTCTCTTCCCCAACCGATATGGGATCTCACAATCCACACCTCGATGTCCTCTTTGGGCTTTCCCTTTCGTGCTTCCTCTCAAGATTTTTAAAACGCGTCTGCTAGGTAAAAGTTTTCACACCCTTATAAAGAATGTTTCGTTCTCCTCTCCAACCGACATGAGATCTCACAATCCACCCCCTTTGGGGCCATGCATCCTTTCTTGCACTTGTTCTCTTTTCTAATTGATGTGGGACCCCTTAATCAACCCCCTTCAGGGCCCAGCGTTCTAGCTACCATACCATCTCATGTCCACGCCCTTCGGGACGCAGCCTCCTCACTCTCACATCACCCTGGTGTCTAGCTTTGATACCATTCGTAACCGTCAAAACCCACCACTAGCACATATTGTCCTCTTTGGACTTCGCTCAAGGTTTTTAAAACTAGTCTGTTCGGGAGAGGTTTTCAGACCCTTATAAAAAAAAATGTTTCGTTCTCCACCCAACAAACGTGGAAATCTCACAAAAAAAAAAAAAAAAAGCTTCCACGAAAGACAAAAGAAACTGACCTTGTTGTTTCTGGATGAACTGACGATGCTTCTCAAGTGTTACAAGTATGGATCTCTTTTTCTCAGTCAATTCACTCAAATATTTATGGGTTTGACCTCTGAACTTGCATCAATAATCATTAGAATAATAATAAAGAAAAAGAGTATAATTCATTTTAATAAGAATAACAATCTTACTCCGTGCCAGAAAGATAGCAATGAAGATCAATGCTAGAAGCCACAAGAGCATGAACAATCCAATAAGAAACCAATGGGATCCCGCGAAGTGCCGCAGACAATTCAGGCACTTCTTTGATATCATATTTGGACAAGTTCTTGAATTCATTCATGTATTTAATGGCCTTCAAGCAGCTATATATCAAACTGTTGGGCCCAAAAAACACCTGCCCATATTGCACAGAATCCAGCTCCTTCCTCAGCGAACCCACTCGCTTGATCATCGCCAACGATTTAGCGAGCGGGTCCGAGCGCGAGTAATTGTCGAGATGCCACAAAGCTCCATAGTTCATGGCGAACGCCGTGAAGATCAGCACGGCCTTCGCCTCCCATGAATATTTGGTCAGCTTACTTAGAATATCAAGAGTTGTTTTGTGAGCTATATCTATCCCAGCAGCCTTACATCCCATCTGAAAATTGACATTATTTCAATACAAAAGTACTGAGGTTAAAATCTCAAGATTTTTGGCTAAGTAAAGACCTGTTTTGAGATATCATGAAGGGTGCAAACTGGTGGTTCAATTGAGGAGGAATATGTGAAGGAGTCATCCGAAAGTTCAACATGCACTTTGCTTCCTTGTGCCTAAAATGATAATAAAAATTTGCATAAGAAGGGAGAATAAGAAGGGGAGAGATTAAAGCATGTGATATCTAACCCAATGAGAAGCTGCGGAAATCTGATCCGAGGATTTAATGACGTTTTCGATGAACGAAATGTAGTCATTAAGGTTGATGTTTATCGTCTCGTCCTCGCCATGTTTGGTGAATAAGTGATTCATGATAACATCGTCGGATAACTGCTTTAGATTCGTCTGTTCCTTGTCTGTTTTTTGCATTAGAGCGAGCGCCAATGGAACGGCCGAGATCTTGGGACGAGGTGCAAAAGAAGCACACATGTTCTTGGTTTGGTTAGTTCTAGCAAGCAAGATTTGGGAGTAGGGATAGAGAGATTTGTATCTTATTTATAGCTCCCACAAGGGTGGAAAATGAGAGATAAAGCAAAGAATTTTGGGAGTTTTTCAAAGAAAGAATAATGAATGTAATGGGATATATGGAGCTTTAGGAAGCTTTTCTATAAGGCTTCGTTAAAGAATATGCATTTGGGGCACCTCATATTGACTAAATATACT